GTCTGCCAACACTTGAGCCTTAATAGCTGGACGGGGCGCGTAACTTATATCAAACTCACTTAATTGCACGGCCCACTTTACCAGGCGCCCGGACACATCCATTGACCCGAGAATCGTCCTTAGTGGCAGGTTGGTAAGCACCACGATGCTATGAGCCTGAAAATAAGGTCTGAGCTTGTTCGCGGCCATTACTACCGCCAAGGCCGCCTTCTCTATGGGTGCATATCGCGTCTCATGGCCAACCATGGTGCGGCTGACGTAATACACCGGTCGCTCTTCCTTTGTTAGCGAGTCTTTGGATATCAGTACAGCGCTCACAGCGACGTGGGACACCGCTATGTACAAGTATAGCACTTCTTTGGCTCTAGGCGCGGTCATTACCGTAGGCGCTATGAGTAGCTCCTTCAATTCTTCAAAAGCCTTGTTGCAATTCTTCTGTCCATCGAAACTTGGTGGCTTTTTCAACACCTTGAAAAAGGGAGCGCCCCGATCCGAGGCTCGCGGGATGAACCGTCCCAACGCCGCCAGCCTTCCCGTCAACACTTGCACCTCTTTCGGCGTTCTCGGGGGCGCCAAGTTCTTGATGGCCTCCACCTGCCTGGGATTGGCCTCAATCCCCCTCTTGGTTATCATGAAACCCAAGAACTTTCCCGCCTCCGCAAAGAACACACACTTTTTGGGGTTAAGCCTCAAATTGAATCGGCGCATTGTCTCGAACGTTTCCCGGAGGTCCAGGATATGATCTAGGCGCCTCTTGCTCTTCACTATCAAATCGTCCACATATGCTTCCACGTTTCTCCCTATCTGCTTGCGGAAGACTTGGTTTACCATGCGTTGGTAAGTGGCGCCTGCATTCTTTAAACCAAATGCCATGACCCGATAGCAAAAGTTGCCAAAAGGTGTCATAAAGGCCGTTTTCGCCCGATCTTCCTCCACCATTGGGATCTGATGATAGCCTGAAAACATGTCCAAGAAACTGAGCGCTTCATGATACGCCGTTGCATCTACCAGCAAGTCGATGCGTGGCATAGGGTAAGCATCCGTCGGGCACGCCCGGTTGAGGTTAGTAAAGTCCACGCACATCCTCCAATCTCCCGACGGCTTTGGTACAAATACTACGTTGGATAGCCACGTTATGTACCTTGCTTCCTCCACAAACCCCGCCTCACGCAACCTATCAACTTCATGCCGGAGCGCCTCTTCTTTCTCGGGGGTCAAGTTTCGTCGCTTTTGTTGCACCGGCCTTTTACCTTCTTCCACTGCTAGTCTATGAGCCGCCACTTCGGGGGACACTCCGGGCATATCCCGGGCGCTCCATGCAAACAATTCTCCGAATTCCCGCAGCAATTCTATTAAGGGCGCTCGCATAGCCTCTGGCGCCTGTGATGATATTCGTATCATTTGGTCTGGGCGCCCCTCGTCCAATATCACAGCCATCTCATCATCCATCGGCTCCGCCCTGGGCGCCTCCTCCGGACGGATGTCTATAATATTCAGTCTATGCTTTCGACCTCGATTCTTTGACTCCTCTTCTCTTGCATATCGCGGGACATTCCTTCCTCGCGAGACGCCCACGCCTTGGGGAGCGACGAACTTCAGCGTCTGATGGCACGTCGAAGCTACCCCATTGAATTGCGCCAATAGAGGTCGGCCGAGTATCACATTGTATGGCGACGGGCAGTCCACGATGCCAAACTCCACCGCATGCGTTACACAATGTGTTTCGTCCCCCAGAGTCACGGGGAGGCGTACGCGTCCGATGACTTGAGCTGGCGCGCCAGAGAATCCGACCAACACCGAATTTGAGGGGCGCACCAACTCAGGCGCCAGCTGCATTCGTTCGAAGGTGCTCTTGAAGAGGACATCCATAGAGCTGCCTGTGTCCACCAACATTCGCTTCACCTTACATCCGGCTATCACCCCTTGTATCTCAAGAGCTTCTTCCGACGGGACTTGGCACGCCTCATCCGGTTCCTGATTAAAGTGGATGTGTACGGATTCCCTGGCTTCAAGCGACGCAGCTCGCAGGCGTCTAGATCTTTCCAACTTCTCTCTCAAGTCAAGGGTACCCGTTATGGACTCGACTGTAAGTCTTACACGATTAGGCTCTCCCTCTTGGTCCACCTCAAACGGAGGTGGCGGAATATCTGGCGCCGGCTCAGTTTCCGGTTCTTTGGGCGCTTCACTGACCGCGGGCGGCACCACGGTTTGGGTTCTTGGTTCTTCAGGCGTCCTCCTATGTTCCGGTGCCTGCCTCATCACATAGGTTCGATGCGTCCTGTCCTCCATCCTTCTAACGAAGTCGTTGAGCATGCCCTTGTCAGCTAAAGTTTGAAGTTCGGACTTCAGTTGGTAACAATCGGCCGTGTGATGCCCCTTGTCGCGATGGAAGTCACAATACCTGTCAAGATTTTTTTCGTTAGGCTGGCCGCGCATGGGCCCCGGCCACCGTATATGGTAGCCCCTATCCTTCACATATTGCAGCACATTCTTGAGGGTATCATTGTACTCTGTAAAATTTGCAGCACTCCTCGGCGCCGGGCGTGGCGCCTCTGGCCTCCTTGGTGGGACGAAACTTCCGGTGCCAGGTCTGGGCGCCTGCCTCACTTCACCTTCATCACCTCTTAGGCGCCTCTTTTCAGCCCTTCGCGCCGCCAAAGTTTCTTCCAACATAATCACCTTTTGTACTCTTCGGTCAAGGTCTTCGGTGGACACTACATCTCGCTTGGACAGGACCCGGCATAGCTCTTCGCTTGAGGTGCAGGCATCCAAGCAGACCCCTAACACTGCTGGTTGAACATCTTTGACCGCCATTGCAACCGAGATCCATCGATCGTAGAACTCTCTGAGCGCCTCGCCCTCTCTCTGTTTGACTTTAAACAACGCCCCTATGGTCAATGTCCGACGCTTCCGGCTTGCAAACTTGGACAAAAACAAATCAGCAAATTGCTCGAAACACTCTATGCGCCCCTCCTCAATTTGGTGATACCAATCCAAGACCACGCCTGCGAATGTGGATGGAAACACCTTGCACAATGTGGCGTCGGAGCTGTTGTAGAGCTGCATCTTGGTGAAGTAGCTATTCAGGTGGTCTTCCGGGTCAGCCACCCCATCGTAACTTGGCAACGGGGGGATCGTAGTTCCCGCTGGCTCCATTAGAATGCATCGTGCCAGAGGCTGCCGAACACCAAACCTCCGAGCAATCCTCCTAGGCGCCCATACGTCCTCTGGGCCCGTTTGCGCGCGCTCGATGTTTAGCCTCCCATCTCGTGGGCGCCCAAACGCATCGTGCCCCTGCTCGAAGGCATGCGGCGGTCCGTATTGCAGAGACTCTGAATCTTCCCCCATTCTTTCCCGCTTTCTCGCCCCTGGGCTGTACATCATCACATCTTCACTTCGTTCCCCTTCCAACTCCCTTTTGAGCGCCGCTATGGCCCGATCTTGGTCGGCTATGATTCGAAACAACTCTCTTTTTGTCAAAGATTCACCATCATCAGCGGACAGGCGCCTAGGGCTTCCTTGTCCCTCCCCATCCATGCTCCTCTCTTGACTCAGCTGACGCTCGCCTCCCTCGTGATCCGAGTTCCCCGACCTGGAATTGCCTACTCCATCGTTCCCTTCGTTCATATTCTCCATGCGCTTACCGTCTTCGTGCGCCCCGCCCCCTATCTGGCGCGCCAATTGTTCGAGCCAAGATACTTCCAAACGCTTATCCTCCACTTTCCCACTTGTCTGTCACTCAGGCGCCTGGAAACTGCACCCACAAGCGCCTAAGGGCCTTGGTCGACCCGTTAGCACTCCGAAGCTTAAGTCAGTGCCCTTTTCTAGAGAGATAAGTGTTCAGAAATAGTTTAGTGAGAGAAGCCAACCTGCGTAAATGCTATCGTCTGCCCCTATTTATACTCACCGAACCCGAGGTTGATCTCCGCCACGTCACCTCCCACATTCAATGCTCTGCGCCCCCAGACAGCTAACCGTCCTGTCAGACTCCTGACACCCGACTGGCATTCCACAGCTCTGCCAGGCTCCTGACACACGACAGGCGCCCGCAGGCCGTGGTCCACCATTCAGTTGATCGCCACCTGGCTTTTGATGCTCTATGTGACAGCTAACCGCCCTGTCAGACTCCTGACACCTGACAGGCGCCCCCGGCCGTGGTCCACCAGCCGGTTGGCCGCCACCTGGCTCTTGGTACTTTACTCTTTTGGGCTTTGTCCCCTAGCTCGCTGGGTAATACCCCCAACAGTTAGCACAAATCTATCAACGCGTACGCCAAACCTAAAACTAAAAGACACCCCCGCCAATTAAACAAATAGGTTGATTTGAAGAGGAAATTTAAGATGCTATGTTTTTTTTTTTTTTTTATGATCAAGATGCTATGTTTTTAGTACACCATAATCATAATGTTTGAGGTATATTCAGTTTATATGATAAACAATTTCATACGAAAATATATAGTTACAAATCACAATGTTAAATGTATAAATTCAATTTTTATTATAAAAAACTTGCACAAAAGAGGTATATGTCCAAGTTGATTAGTACCATAACGTTAAAGATACAAATTCATTTTGTAGCATAATCTTTTTTTTAACACATCAAAGCACCGATGCTTATGAACATAGTAACTGTGACATTCCAAACATTTTCCCAACAAGATATTGTCCGCTTTAGTTCTAGACATGCATGAATTTTGCCTTGGGGTGGTTTCCCTTAAGGTCACCCACAAAACGCGTCTTGTCTGTTAAGATTAGTATCGTATTTATGAATCATGAATCTCTCTCATATTTTATTGACGTGGAATTCGACTAAAATGTTAAGCTTTGGTTTATAATAAAAAAAAAGTGTTGGCTGTTGGTCCCCCTAAAGCGACAAAGAAAGAAAATTGGTACTTTGGTGGTAGAAACACAAAGAAGAAGAGGATAGAGTTTGGCTGCTGCTAATGCTACAATGCATAGCCGCAGACCATAGTCTTCTCCTCCTAATACTACTCGATAATGGGAATGCGTTAGGGTGGTTCCTTTTTTTTAAGTTGCCATGGTGGCTACCTCCTTTTTGGCCATAGAGATTAGAAAAATTCAATCTGAGGGCCCATATTGTGGAAGGGTGTTTACGGAAGGGACCAAACATCATTACTGGGCCCGAAATCACAGCCTTGCCCCACGCTTCCCTTCTTTATTGTTTCTTTCCCTTTTCCCAAACCAGCTCCCAAACCCAAAACCCTTTTCCCTTTTCCCTTTTGCAGAGAGCAGCGCAGAAGCTTCTCTGTCCGCGATTTCTATTCGGCGCCGCCGCATTGTCCGCCGCCGCCCTCCCCTGGTAAAGACGGATTTCTCTCCGGCGTTGTCCGCCGCCGCCGCATTCTCTCTCCGGCGTCGTCTCTCTTCGGCGCCTGCGTATCTTCCGTCTCCACCATAACCCTCCCCCGCGCAAACAGAGAAGGAAGGGTTTTCTGGACCGTCGCCGCCGTCGTTCCTTTCTAGCGAGGGTTGTCGGCGGCTGGTTCTTTTTCCGTTGGTGGATAAACGAGCGTTTTCGGCGTCTCACCGGCGGCGACATTCATCGTATCTCTTCCATCATCCATTCCCGTTGTCGGCTGTGAGCTACTGATCTGAGGTTCGTCTCCCGCCAGAACTTTAATCTTCAATTTTAAACCGTAGGTTCTAGTGCATTGGTAGTGCTTTAATCCCTTGTCAATCTATGAATGGCAGTGTTATGTTTGGAATGGTAGTTTTTTTGGTGCTTTGATTTGTAGTGTAATGTTGGAATGGTAGACTGCAGGTTGTCGAATGGTAGTTTTTCCTATTAGAATGGTAGCTTTCAGGGTGTCGTGGATTGGTAGTCTTCATTTGGATTGGTAGTTCTTCATTTTGGATTGGTAGTTCTTTATCACTGTTTTGAATTGTTGTGTCATGTTGGATTGGTAGTCTGCATTTGGATTGGTAGTTCTTTACTGTTTTCATTCATGCATTGGTAGTTTTCTGCATACATGTGAAACCGTGTTTTTTATGTGGATTGGCACTGTTCCGTTCGAATGGTAGTAATTTAGTTTTTTTTGAATGGTGGTTTCCTTTCATGCATTAGTAGTTTTCTCCATACATGTGAATCTGGTAGTTTGATGTGGATTGGTAGTCTTCATTTGGATTTGTAGTTTTTTCCAATGCAACGGTTGTGATGTTTGATTAATGTTAAACGACTTGCCTCCCATTTTTTCCAATTTTAGGAATGGCAAGAACCAAGAACCCCAGTCGTAGGGGCTCAAAACACAAGGAACCTGTTACCTACAGCAGTCGTCAGGTTCAAGTTGGAAGTGGGCAAACCTCGGACTCTATTGATGAAGCTGTGCCGCAGAAGGATATGGGTAAATCTAAAGCACCTGGGAAGAAGTGCAGCCCCGCATCGATTATATCAATTGTCGAGAATGGTATAACAAATTCAAGGATAGAGCTAATAAAGAAGCTCGGATTGGATTTTGTTTTCCATTTGAAGATGAAAAGGTTTGACAGCGAGCTGCTTATCTGGTTGGTTGACCATTTCAATGGGGACAGCATGTCGATTCAGATGGCTGATGGACGTCACCTAGTCCTCACAGTTGATGATGTGCAACGGGTTTATGGCCTTCCTCGTGGTCAAAAGCAGGTACCCAATGTCAACATTAACAAGTGCAAGACACTGCCAGGACAGATGTTGCACATTGATTCAAAAGAGAAGCATTGGAACAAGCTTTGGTCCTTGGCAAAAAAGTTACCCGACGTGACTGAGGACGCGATCTGGATCCGGATGTTTGGCCTTTATTTTTGTAATGGTAGTGTTATGCTCGAATGGTAATTATACCTCGTGGACATAATTTTTGTTTAATAACTCTGCCAGTACAAACATAATCTGGAATTTTGTCTTTATAACTTGATGTGGAATGGTAGTTTTTGGTACTCCTGAATGGTAGTTTCCTTCCATGCGTAGTTTTCTGCACACATGTGAATGGTAGTTTCCACATGTCTCTAAACTTGTATTTTTTTTAATATGGAATGGTAGTGTTATGCTCGAATGGTAATTATTCCTCCTGAATGTGGAATGGTAGTTTTTGGATCTCCTGAATGATAGTTTACTTCCATGCAATGGTAGTTTTCTGCACACAAGTGAATGGTAGTTCCCACCTGTCTCTAAACCCGTGCTTTTTAACTGTGGAATGGAAGTTTCCTTTCATGCAGTGGTAGTTTTATGCATACACGTGAAGCTAGTGTTTATAAACACACTGCACTCTCAAATAAGCAAGTTGAGGTACCAGTACCATCTTAGATGACATTAAAGTAAACAAGACACAATTACAAAACCTGTTTGTCCAAGACCATTACAATCAAACATAATTAAACCAAAAACCATTACCAAATAAGTACTCAATTGTGTCCAATATTTGCAACTGAACTGTCAAATATAAATAATGACTCAATCATACTAGACACAACTTCTGCTAACCAGCCTTGTTCATCTCATTGATTAGATGTTTCCTCGACTTCTCTGCGTACCTTTCGCCAAACCCCTTCCTTCTTTTCCTTATTCTAGACGGCTCCTTTCTAAAAAATAACTACCATTGTAGTAGCTAATACAAAAGTCCGAACCAATACCAATCCAATCAAAAAACTACCAATGCGATACGAACTACCAAAATCAAATTCAACACATATACCAATGTAAGGACTACCATTATTCCTAAACAAGTACGTAACAATACCAATCCGAAACATGTATGCAGAAAACTACCACTCCATGAAAGGACTACCACTGCATGCAAGGACTACCACTGCATGGAAAAATTCACCTTGACCTTCGTCGGAATTGTCACAAGCGTCGCCTACAAAGCCTTCTTCCACAGATTGATCTCCGACGATACCAGACCCTTTGCAAGGATTTCAGACCAAAAGGGATGTTAATTTTTGGCCGTTCAAGCAAAAGCATACAATCATGAATGGTTTAGATACTTACCGTCGTCGCTTTGGATCCCCGTATCCTCTTCCTCGCCACCAAAAATAGGACTTTCTCCGAACAACACTTCCATTGCCATCCTTCTACGCTCCACCACATCGGGCGATGATGCAACGTCGGTGGTCGCCATTGAAGCAAAGTCGGCAGGCGCCATTGAAGCAAAGGAGGCGGTCGGCGATGATGCAACTTCGCAGAGTCCACGGCGGCAGAATAATGGACTTCGAATAGTCCACGCCGGCCAAAAAGATTGCCATTAAAAAAACCCTACGCTGATTCAAAAAACTACCTAATAATTAATTACCGTAATTATCTCTTTCTAATTAATTGCGTAATTAAAATGGTAGTTTTAATTAGGATGGAAGCAAAATACCCTTCTTATCCCTAGTAACCACCATGGTTACTACCACTAAGTATCCACCATAACCTCTCCCTCGATAATGATTCTTTGGCAATTGCCTGCCGAAAGGTTCAAACCATTGTTTATTGCTTTAAATTTAAAGCAAACGTCCCAATCACACCAATTAGTTCATTCATATTGCTCATTATTCAATTCATATTCTTCATCAATAGCTTCATTTCAAAAGAGAGAATGAACTACTTTTTATTTCTAATTTATGTCAGTGATAATGATTCTCCTTCTTACATAGTATGTGAATGTTCATGAATATTTATTGGCGTGATATTTAATATTTCATTCACTCGAGCAAATGGCTATCAATAATGTCTCAGTGTTGATTTAACCATATTAAATCTGGCAAGACCCCAAAATCATACATATTTTAGACCTTCTTTTACTAACAATTGTGATGTAGGTGGTGGCGAATTCATCAATGATTGATATTATGAGGAAGAGGTGTTTTCACTGGGTATCCCTGCCTAGTACTCACATGTGCAATTAGCTGCCAATCTCGATATATTTTCTTGTATTGCGCAGCCATCTCGTTGAGCTCTATTTAAATTTAAACTATAAATTCTCATAATATTTACGTGCGATTAGCATTGGTTATAGTGATGTCAAACAGGTGGGACGGGACGGGCGGGTACATGCGGGACAGGTCGACCAACTCTTACATGTTATTCGAAAAAATACACATAAATTTTTTAGTTTTTACAATAAAATGAAGGGAAAACACTTTATGAATGAAAATGAGTGATAATAGGTAATTGAATCTAACTAGTTGAAAGATCAAGTCTAATTAGTTGATGAAAGATCAAAATATTAAAAAATATTGAAAATGCAGACTGTTCGCACGCTGCTTGCGGTTGCGGCCATGAAGGGTTGGGGTCTGACATAGTTGGATGTTAAAAATGCATTCTTGCATGGAGACTTGAAGGAGACGATTTATATGGAATGTCCTCCCGGCTATTCCAACGACAAGTCAAAAGTTTGCTTACTTCGCCGCTCTCTGTATGGGTTGGAACAGGCGCCCCAGGCATGGTTTGAAAAATTCCATAGTACTATCTTGCAGGCTGGCTTTCATCAAAGTGATAATGACCCTTCTTTGTTTCTACGATGCACGTCTCGTGGACTCACTGTGCTACTTATCTATGTTGATGACATGGTGATAAGTGGTGATGATCAGGACGAGATTCAGTTTCTTACTGGAGTTCTTAGGGATGCTTTTAATCTCAAGGAGCTTGGTGATCTATGATATTTTTTTGGGACTTGAGATTCATCGATCTACGTTGGCTTGCTAGTATGTCAACAGAAGTATGTGGTGGATCTATTAGAACAGGCTGATATGGAGTCGTGTGTTCCGTGTGCTACGCCCATGGAACAAAATCTGAAGTTACGACAAGATGATAGTGATCTTCTACCTGACAGTTCTCAGTATCGTAGCATAGGGGGCAGCCTTATCTACTTGACTCATACTTGTCCAGACATCTCCTATGCAGTCCAGCCGTCCAGGTGGTCAGTCAATTCATGTTGGCTCCCCATTCGTCTCATCTCCTTGCCGTCATGCGCATTTTGCGCTATCTTAGTGATACTCAGGATGTTGGCCTCTTCTTTCCTGCGACTGGTACACCTGATATAGAGGCATATGCATATGCTGACTATGCTGGTTGCCTGGATACTCGACGCTCTATGTCTGGTTGGTGTGTGAAAGTGGGCTCATCGTTCATTTCTTGGCGTTGTAAGAAGCAAGATCGGGTGTCTAAGTCCTCCACTGAGGCCGAATATCGTTCGATGTCCGGGGTGACTTCTGAGTTGGTCTAGTTGCATCGGTTACTAGCGGAACTTGGTGTGGTCAGGATCTATCCTATGCGTTATCCGCTTCGTACGATAATACCAGTGCGATTAAGATTGCTACTAATCCTGTGCTCCATGATCGTACAAAGCACATTGAAGTTCATGTTCACTATATCCGCCAGTTGGTTGCTGAAGGACATATTTTGCTATCCTACATCACTTCAGAGGACCAGACCGCAAACCTGCTTACTAAAGCGGTGGCTACCTCTTGTCAGTGGTTTCTAGCTCACAAATTGATGTTACGCAAGTTACCATCAATTTGAGGGAGGGTGTTAGAAGTATAGGTAGCAAAATATAATTAACCTGTATTTAGTTTAATTACGTTTAAGTCATAGTTAGGGTTTGGCGGCTGTGTACATAAGCTGAAGGCCGCCACTCTTGTAACCTAAGGATTCTATTGGCAGATTATACAATTGACTCTGAGAGGTTGCTTCTCTCCGTGGATTAGTCTCGACATCATTGTCGAGTATACCACGTAAATCTCGTGTTATTTATTCTTCTTTCCTTTTGGTTGACATGTCTCATGTTACTGTGTAGGGGCGGAGCTAGGTGGGGCCACACCCCCCCCCCCCCCCCCCGAGAATTTCGACGTTACGTACAAAACCTCGAAGAATAACGGAAAATGCGTATAAACTATATTTTTTGTATAAGTAGATTTGGGTGCAAAATTGATGCAAGATAGTAAGGATGGTCGAGTGGTAGAGATGCATAGCTTGTTTCATTTAGTCGCACGTTTTTCATAGTGAACTAAACCAATAAAATTATCAATTCTTAAACTCTGCTATTCCATAACCTTGAAAGTTGAAACTTGTCTTTTTTTCTTCCGTTGGTCAACTTGCCATTTTCATAGTGAACTAAACCAATAAAATTATCAATTCTTAAACTCTCATATTACAAGGGTTCCTTTTGATTATAGATTAATTTGTTTACCTTGATATTTAACGGTATCTTCTGATTATAGAATTAATTTTGTACAATAATATTAAGAGACATTCATTTTCATTTATGAATAATATTAATTTTTTGTTCGTTGTTTAATTGCTCTATTAATATGGATTTAACTGTTTTAACCATGTCAACTTTCATATTTTCTTTTACAAGTCCTATATTTCAAATAAATTGATCAAATATTAAATCATTATGTTTAAGTCTTCTTTTGGTTATACAATGAATTGTTTTTTTAACGATAATATTGACGAGTATTCATGTTTTATTTATAAATATACTAAAAAATTTAAACATTTTATTTTTCCGTGATGATAAACCAAATAACTCCGCCCCCCCCCCCCCCCAGACTCAAATCCTAGCTCCGCCCCTGTTACTGTGGATCGTATAACATCCGACGAGGCGGAATACAAATTATCATTCCTAATCGATTATTAAGTGTGTCGAGAATCATCACATTCTAATAATTGAATTTCCGAAAAGATACCCAAATATAAATCTTATAGCACTCGTTTACATATGACAGACAACTTAAAATTCAAAGTCTCCTACAACAACACATTATACAACTTTGACGAACAGCTCTCAATCATGTCCGGATCCTAGATTATGTGACCAGTTAGTGTCGTGGAAAGGTCAAACATGTCATATGACCTAGACCATGCTGTCCGACCTAGGCTATGTATATAGGTAATAGGTGTTCACAACATCTCAATACAGTCTATACATTTGGTGCAGGTCACTACTACTCACGTTCCTGCGTTTGGGTTTTTTGCCAGCCATGACTGTCCTCTGTTCGAGGGTTAAAAAACTAACGTTGTTGGACATAACATATATGATTCTCGAGATGTGGATTGTATACGATCTTGTTTGCTGTACACACAAACTGGTCTACTCTAATGGGATTTGCCGTGAATCGCGCAAAAAACAGAGAGCAAGTTGCTACGAACACCATTTTAGGGGAGAGTTCGTCTTTGAGAAAAATTAAATCAGTTCTTCCAAAGGTATTATTAACTGTTAACACGTTCTGATTAGTTAGTGGCTCCAATCTTTTCTTTCATTCTTGTCTCGTTACCCAATTATGCAGTTTCTAAAACTGAGGAATAGATCGTCCACTTTGAATAGCGTCAAGAAAAGGTAAGTGAACCTTCTAAAACAGAGTATGTAGGAGCAGAAAACTTCAGCCTGAAAATAAAGGTAAATGAAAGTATCTTTGAAAATTTAAAGGTAAACAGAAAAGAAGAAAGAAAACTGAAGCATCCATAAAGCAACATGAAAGGCTGAAACCCCCCATCATGATTTTTCCTTCAAACCCCAATGTTCAATTCAATCACCAATTCAGATCAGTCCACTTCCCTCCTAAAACACAGTACGCGTAAAAATGTGGTTATATCAAAAATTGAAATAGCATACAGAAGGTAGTATCGAAAAAGTTAGTATTACCGTATTTTATTAATCATTTCATATCGTTAAATATCGCATATTCGTTTCGCTTCTCATAGGAAAAAAATCTGGTTGAACAGTTGGTATGGTATGGTATGGTATGGTTTTGAATCCTTGATTTATATCTCTAAAAATTGTTAAATATCCATCACAAAAAAAAAAAGTCCAGCAATGTGATTTTTCAGACAAAGATTCTCTGACTAAGTTACTATAAAACTGTACATGTGCTTAGGCATAGTAAAGATTCATGACTAAACGTTTGTAGTGTACATATTGAAAAAATATGAACGCAATATAACCATTTTTCTCCGTGCGTTTCACGTATATATGTATCAAAACCATCTAATAGTAAACGAAACTTCTGAACACACCGTCACACTCAAACAGTATAGTTATGTTTACTTAATTCAGTAAGAACATCAAATTCATTTCTATTCGAACTTTCCTATCGAACGAAATGAAAAGGAGACATTCTCAATTTCGTAATCAGAGATTAGCAAATAATGATGCATGCATTTACAAATTAGTCATATCAATCGATCTCATGACAACCGTGACTCAGCTCATAGGAATTACTACAAATAACTCTCACATTCACCACCTTGAAAACACCTCCCTCTCTCCCTCTGTAAATTGTCACCACAAAGATCCATCCCTTTATTTTTATTCCTCCCGCTCCTCTCAAAAAAAGCTTGTCCCCAAAAGAACAGAAAATTCGCCTCCCAATCTTTTGTAATTTTCCCCACACACCCCAACAACAATTTCGCTTCCTCAGACGCAAAAATCCAAATCCCCTCCACCACCACCACCACCACCGTCTTCAATTCAAATTCCCCCCCACGCCCTCCTCCACTCTCTACTATATATACACTCTCCCCCCAAAATCCGCCATTGAAATTGAACCAACCCACCTTCCCAAACAACAAATCCACGCTGCCGCCATGGCAATTTCAATCCGCCGCCACTCTGTTTCCCTTACCCTCTTCTTCCTACTCTTCCTGCTACCCAAACACCACTGTCTCGATCCCAAACCAACCCACCAAATTTTCGCCCTGAAAACAGAGACCCACCACCGGATTCCCAATTCCAGGCTGTTCGGCACCCTCGCCGCCGGTTCCAAATCCGACAAGATGCTCTTCCACCACAACGTCTCCCTCACCGTTTCCCTCACCGTCGGGTCGCCGCCGCAGGCGGTGACCATGGTGCTCGACACGGGTAGCGAGCTGTCCTGGCTCCACTGCCGGAAATCCCCCGGATTGAATTCGGTATTTAATCCGTTGGCTTCCAAATCGTACGCCAAAGTCCCCTGTTTCTCGCCCGCTTGCCGGACCCGGACCCGGGACCTATCCATACCCGTCTCCTGCGATCCGGCCAAGCTCTGCCACGTCGCCGTTTCCTACGCCGACGCTACTTCGATCGAGGGCAACCTCGCCTACGAGACGTTTCGGGTCGGTTCGATGACCCGACCCGCTACCTTGTTCGGGTGCATGGACTCCGGGTTCAGCTCCAACTCCGAGGAGGACGCCAAATCGACCGGGCTGATGGGGATGAACCGCGGCTCGCTTTCCTTCATCAACCAATTGGGCTACACGAAATTCTCCTACTGCATCTCCAGCCTCGGCTCCTCCGGCGTCCTCCTCCTCGGCGGCGGCGCCGCCTCCTTCTCGTGGCTGAAACCGCTCAAATACACCCCGATGGTGAAAATCAACGACCCGCTCCCGTACTACGACCGGGTCGCCTACACGGTCCAGCTCGAGGGCATAAAGGTAAACAGCAAGATCCTGCCCGTGCCGAAAACCGTCTTCCAGCCTGACCACACGGGGGCGGGTCAGACCATGGTCGACTCGGGCACCCAGTTCACGTTCCTGCTCGGCCCGGCCTACACCGCGCTCCGAACCGAGTTCCTCGCCCAGACCAGGCGGGTTCTCCGAGTCTTGAACGACCCGAACTACGTGTTTCAGGGGGCTATGGACCTGTGTTACCTGATCGACTCGACCCGGACCGTGCCCCCACCCGGCCTGCCCTCGGTCACCCTGATGTTCCGGGGTGCCGAGTTCAGCGTGTCGGGCGAGAAGCTGTTGTATCGGGTGCCCGGTTCGCTAAGGGGTAGGGACTCGGTGTGGTGCTTCACGTTCGGGAACTCCGAGCTGCTCGGGATCGAGGCGTTTGTGATCGGGCACCACCACCAGCAGAACGTGTGGATGGAGTACGATCTGGCTGGGTCGAGGATTGGCATCGCAGAGGTCAAGTGCGACGATGCCGGTCGACAACTTGGGTTACATGATTAGTGAAATTTAGACACGTGTTTGGGAGAAGCCTTGTAAATTAGTAAAAGGGTGGGTTAATTTTTGTGTGTGTGTGTGGAGTAGAAGACACGTGTTTTTGCTGTCTGATTCAAGGGGTTCGTCTCAGGTGGGTTGACCGGAGATGGGCCAGTGATCGGACAATGGTGGGCTATGGGGGAAGTAAATATCGGAATGGTTTGTGGGTTGGGTTGGGTTTCCTTGCCTTATTGTTATTGTACAGTAGTGCGGATTTCTGAATCAATTTCAGCCTCACAAGAAAAATGTCGACTGCTTTACCCTCTTTTTAATTCTAGAACTAGAATGTGATCATAATCATATGATACTGCTTTTTGTACTTTGTTTTGTTTTTGGAGTTAAACAAATAAGAAAGCAAAAGGAATTTTCTTTATTCACACGTATAAAGTACAAATGTGAAATGACAATACATGCTCCAGGTTGGAGATAAATTGAGTAATTTAGCATGAGGCACAGGTAGATTCATATTTGTAAAATTTAAAGTGTAAGAAAATTGAAACATTCATCTTTTCATAAAAAAATCGAGGAACAAATTAGTGTATGATAAATGTAGGTAAATTATTAGAGAAATTGAGATTTTCACCTATTTAAAATTTTATTTGTGCTAAAATATGAGCTATTGACGTACAATTCTAATTAATTTAAATAAAATTACGTGTAATTTAAAAAAAAACTGGATCGAGAATAAGAGGATCCGGCCAAGTCGAGAATGGTAAAAAAAAAATGAATAAAAGCAAAGTGACCAACCATTCCTAATTTGGAAGATAAGGTACTAAATATTTTTTAATTGGGTTTCTGTTCTGCGTTGTGACATATGAAGCAAGCCACTTGTTGTAAGCTCTGAAGTCTGAACATCGGGGCCGGATGTAAAAACTGGAGCAACTTTTGTCTTTCAAACAAAAAAATAAAAAAATGTTAGTATATGGTGTTATGTGTAGCAGAGAATCTCATTGGGTTTGGTAAGGCTGCAAAGCCTCTGTACTTTAGCGAATCATTCAATAACAAAATATCGTGGATAGGGAAGAACAACTTCAAACAAATGACACAAATACACAATAATACTTATTTTCATCAGCCCAACTGTGAGAGGACGTGGACAGACAATAGTATGCAGATGTTTTATCGGACCGTGCATATCGAGACTTCTCAATCGTCCGAAGTACATCTCATACTCTCACTGGTAGGTCTTGTGACGCAAAAAGTAAATTGATAATTTCAAATGGCGTGTGTATGATTAGCTAGCTGATCTGAATACTGAAATGACCGATCTCAATGATTAAGTGAGTGCCTAATCCGAAAGATGAGTCAGTGGTCATGGTATATGGAAGCTCAGAACACTCTCCGAATTGTTGATAATAATCAATTGGATGCCAACTAATGGGATCAAACAAGAGTCTTGGAATTGTGAAACAATGAATCTAACAATTGCTATTCGGTGTGAAGCTTGAGAAGATGAAATTGATAAGGTGTTGGTAAGAAAAACAAGTATATCTATGTCGATGGGCAGGGTTTTTGAGTTGGTGGGTGCCAGCCAGCCAGCCCATGTCTCACTGCTGCAATTGCCCTAGTGGGTGAAGAGTGAAGACCGACCAGACTGTTTGTTGGGATGGCTGCTGCGGCTAGGTGATGAGTGTCGGATGGGGATAGCCATAATCTATGCTATTGCTATTGCTATTCCTGTTCCTATTGCTATTGCTACGCCAACAAGTCAAGCACAGGGATCGCTGCAGTGGGAAGGGAAAGAAAAGAGTAATATTATACTCTAAGATACGAAACCAAAGCAGTGGTAGGTATAGAGAAGGAGTACGACTTCAGCCTGTCTGCTACCCTTGCTCTGCTTCATATTGATTTGAATTTCATATTACGCTTGTTTGGTGTTGTATTCTCATTTCCAAAGATGGATTTTAAGTAAGATGCTGCACCAAAACTGAAGTAATCATTGACAAGGCTAGTCGGGCTCTATCGATCCTTTGTTTTTGCAAGGGTCTTCAAATTTCTGTGACTTTGGCATCGTTGCTCTTGCCGTTGGATGAGATGCGGGCTGCTTTGTAACCTATGTGTATGTTCATTTTGCAGGTGAAGCTGTTCATAGGAGCGTTAGTTTTTCGTGCCATAACCGCAATAAAAGAGTTTCGGAGAAATTCACTGCACCGTTGTCATCTGATAGCTGCTTGAATTCGGTTCATGACTTTCACCCTGAAAATTTAAAACTCAGTTATGAATTCTGAGCGAGTATATAAGTATAATAGGACTACTCATGCCGTAAAAACCAAATACCTGCCAAGTACATTATACACTATGTTTGGCAACAAGGGGGGTGCAAGTTCGAGGGGGGTGCAAGTTGAGGGGTAAATTGTTGGGGGGTGCAACTTGGTGGAGGGTGTAAGTGGAGGGGTAAATTGTTGTTTGGATGAAAAAGTAGGGGGGTGCAAATAGAGTAAAAAGTAAGTAATTATATTATTATAAAATAGATTTATCAATTTATAAAATATTATCACAAAATAATAACATGAAAATTCAATATATAATAATAAATAATAAATAAAAATAATTTTAATAAAAATAATTATTATATAATAATTCTCAAATATAATTATTTATAATAATAATAATAATCATTGGTCGAGCAACCTCGAAACTCGAAATCCAACTCGTAACTGGTCATCCTAAGGGGGTTCTCGTGCCTAACTTTAAATTGAATATGGTCAAACTTAGTCAAACACGTTCGAATCTGTAAGTTTTAACTATTTATTAAAGTAAATCGAGTTAACTAAACTGTTCCTCTCTATCTTTTCAACAAACGCTTCTTATCTCTAATTTTCAATGCAGATTCGGGTCAACTAAGAGATATCAATTTGACTAGGCGAACATTGACAAACTTGCTCTCTGAGTCAAATGGTCAACCCCAAACAACTTCTACACTAATATAGATATAAGAAAAAATTAATAATATTAATTATTATGTAATTATAATCTAATTAAAAATCCATAATTCCCCTCCTCCCTCTTCCCCCTCCCTTCCTTCCTTCCCTTGCACCCCAATTTGGGGGGTAAGCCGAAATAGTGAATTTACGCTCACGTTTTGCACCCTCTACTGTTACAAAATAACCAAACGGGGGTAAACACCTTGAAACTTGTGTTTACCCCCCAAATTTGCACCCCTTCCATTTACACCCCTTCCCAAACATAGTGTATATGTTGGATTGAGAAAAGCATACGCAGAGAGAGAGAGAGAGAGAGGCCAGAAATAATAAAAGCGTAGCTTTCCCTTTTGTTTTCATGAGTGGGTGGGTTGTTGCCTGGCAAACGCTTTGGTCTGAACCGGAAGGAGTGCTGACTACGGATTCCTGCTGTTTGTTTTGTTCAATGACTGCGCCAGCCAGCCGGCCAGGCTGGAACTTGTGCTTAACTGCTCACCTCAGCTCAGTTGCCGTGTGGAATCGAGCTCGAATCCCCACTTCCAATTTTTTGAAACCTGTCTGTTCTGTTTCTGTCGCCTCACCACGCCATTTGAGAACACAGAGAAAGAAAAAGGCTTTCTCTTTCTGCTCTCCTTTTTCTTTATTTCCTCCTTCGTTTACTTCCACTTCGAACTTCGGGGAAAAGGGGGAAACGACAAAAATATGTCTTAAGTTGCTGTGATAATTAAGTCTCTGATTACCCCAAAAAGAAGGATTAGTCAAGTTGTTGGGATATTGTTGCGACAAATCACCAAGGTCATCAGTAAATCTAAATTCTAAATCCACTTTAAAGCATCTCACTTGAGACTTTGAGCTCCTCCTAAGAACCAAACTCACGGGCCAATGCAACTCAAGTTCCCAAACTACTAAATAAGGACACTCAAGCCTCCAACCTAGGAGGCTTCTCTTCCTTTTCCACATACATGGTCGTCTATATAAACTATTATCGGGTAATTAGCATAAATGGTCACAAATCTTTGCACTTAGTACAAAACAGTCACAAACCTTTAATTTGTAACCATTTGATAACAAAACTTTCTTACTTAGAACAAAACGGTCACAAATTAAACAGTGTGACCATTTCATACCAGTTCAAACTTTTGTTACCGTGTCGTTGCAAATTAGACTTTTGGTGACCGTTTTGTACAAATTAAGTTCAAAAGTTTGAACGCTCAATCACCGTTACAATTCACTCTAGTTGTACGGTGGTTTTGTTAATGTATGTGAATGATATTATGTTGTTTAGGATGACAATGAGAGAATTCAATGGCTCACAAACGGGTTCCAAACTGCTTTTTAGTTGAAAAACTATGTCTACTTTCTTACTTTCTTGGTATCGAAATTGAAAGGTCAACTGAGGACATTCTTATTCGGCAAAGCAAATATGTCGATGAACACATGACCTGACGTCTTATATGTCGTTCAAGTGGTTAGTGTCATATACTTAACGAACAAACTACCCGACCTCAAAACATGACCAACGTTTAATCTGTAACGCTTCGGTAACAAACCTTTGCACTTAAAACAAAACGGCCATAAATTAAATAGCGGTGACCATTTTATACAATTTCAAAAATTTTGTTACCGTATTGTTACAAATTATCTCTTTCTGCTTTACATACCACATCTATATGTTGTATTAACTTAGACGTCACATAGTGTATCGATCAAAATTTGTTGATTTTCAAATCAATAGTTTCATTCATAATTTTCAGAATGGTTTTCATGAAGATTATCCTTTAGTAGCATGTTAAAATCGAGTCTCTTAATTTAGTAGAAATACCATATCAAAAGGACAGAGACTAAATCAAGAATATGCACTCGTCAATTAATTGCGCAAACAAATTTACCTCGATGAGAATAAGGGATTGCCAAACAAGTTTGCTCTTTAATCTAGAGGTCCCATTTTTAATATCTTTGAATAGCATCCTCCCATACATATCAGCACATTCTTGCTAAGCACCTATCCAATTAAAAATTTCCTGGCCTCCCCGCAAAGCATGGAAG